ATAATTTAATACAAATTTTAAAACAAATGTATAAAAAATAAATAAATAATTTATTAAATTTACATATTCATTTATTTATATATTAATGTAATAAATATAATAAGTATAATTATAATATATAAATAATTCTAAGTATAATTAAGACACTATTATAGTTTTTTTTTATATATATTTTTAGTCTTTTATTTTAATTTTGTTGTGTGGTTTTGTAAGTTTTAGTAGTTTTCCGTTTTATCTATATAGTTTTTATTAATTTTTATTTCAGTTTTCGTTCCTTATTTTAATACGTCAAGTTAAACTCAATTAAAATGAGAAATGTTGATTTGGCAACTAGTTGTTTTTCATATTTTATAGTTTTCATTTAATTTTTAATACAAAATAAAATAAGAATAATAAAACAAACAAATACAAAGTTTTTATTAATTATTAGTTTGTTATTTTAAATCAATATTATTATTATTTATTTATTTTATTACTGTTTGTTTGTTTGTTTTTATTATCACTATTATTATTATTATTACATTAAATTGATAAATGTTGCCTTGGCATCCAGCTGAAATATGTTTTTTATATTTTCATTAAACATTTTATTTCAAGTAAAAAAAAAAAAAAAAGTGTTTTAAGGGAACAACAATAACCATGAAATTACATTAATTGTATTTTTTTCTTTTCTAGCAGGTTACAGATTGATTCATTGAAAAAATTTAATAAATGCAAAAAGCAAGTTTCAAATGACCAGAAAAATATCTGAAAATACTGTAAGAATATAGACAGATTGCTCAGATCTATCTGAAAAGGGCAGCCGTTTTGATGAAAGATTAAAAATGATTTGGAAAAAGGTTCAAAGAAAAATGATACAGAATAATCTCTGTAACACATTAATAAAGCAAATAGGATTGACTTTGATTTGGTGTTGACTTTAATGCATCTGTGAAGCCTCTTTACCCGCAGCTAACCCTACAGCACTCCAGTCCTCGAGCAAAAGACTTTATGTCTGTGTTTTTCTCCTGATCGCTCAGATGTCACTGCTTTGCTGATACATTCCCCCATTAGGCTTATGTCTAGTAGCAATTTCAAATCAATTACCATCTGCCGAGAAGCCAGCGAGGTTGTAAACTTTGTGCATTTGTTTTTTTGGCAGACAGTGCTGACTACTCCTTCAAAGATGCCCCATCGTGACAAATAAAAGCCCCTCACTGATGGCTCCTTCTGAGCGGGGACGCATTTCTGTTTGTGCGCGTTGAAGAAGGTTCTTATTAGCGACAGATTAATGGAAACAGGAAAAGGAAGCGACAAAAGGAAATGGAAAGAAACGGGATAAGTTGGTCTTACCCCTCCGGAGAGAAGTCTTTCTCCTTGCAGATCTCCATTAGTTTGGGGGTCAACCTGTAGGCCTTCAGACAGAGAGAGCCTTGCGCGGTCTTGATGGGATCTATGAAGCAAAAAAACAGCGCAAATGTAAGCTAGATTCACATGTGTGTGCATATTGTGCATACAAGTTTGCCATTGGTGGGGGCATATGATTTCCTCAATGCAGAAAACACAGCGTGAACTGCAGAATCCAGTCATAAAAATTAAATCTACTCCATAACGAAATGTCATGTCATTTCACCAGACAGGACAACCCGTCAAAATAAAAGTTCAGTTTAACTAGAATATGGCTAAAATCAACTTAATATTAATAAAAATGCATTTTTTTGTGATTTAATTTTAACAGTCAATGCTCTGTTGTGCAGCATTTGCTTGCAAAAAAAAACAAGAAATTGCAAATAAAAGTTACCATTTAATTACAATTTAAAAGACTAATTCAATTGTTAATGTTTTACTTGTTTATTTGAAAATTTTGGAAAAATATTGGGGGGGAAAAACTGTAAATAAATTGTACTTATTATGAATTCAGTTAATTGGAATTCACATTAAAACATTAAAATGTAATTAAACCATTAAATCGCAATTCAGAAAAATTAACACACAAAATTTGGGAAAAGGAAAAATAATTAAGAAAATTAAAACATTTCATAGGCCCATAATATGTTTTTTTGTTTTTTTTTTTACAAACTAAATGTTGGTAATTTGCATACGTTTTAAGATTTCAATTAATAAGACATATTTCTTCTTTTAATTACTAAACTATTAAAAACGGAGTGCAGGGGAAAAAACGGGGGGTAAAAATGTATTTATACATTATAAGAGAGAGAGAGAGAGAGAAAGAAAGAAAGAAAGAAAGAAAGAGAGAGAGAGAGAGAGAGAGAGAGAGAAAGAAAGAAAGAAAGAGAAAGAAAGAGAGAGAGAAAAAGAGAGAAAGAAAGAGAAAGAGAGAAAGAAAGAAAGAGAGAGCGAGACAAAGAAAGAAAGAGAGAGCGCGAGAGAAAGAAAGAAAGAAAGAAAGAAAGAAAGAAAGAAAGAAAGAAAGAAAGAAAAAAGAGAAAGAATTTGAGGAAAGAAAGAAAGCTATTTTAACAATTTTTTGGTATTTAATGGAAAGCATGCTTATAATAATCAACATTTCTTTTGCTTTATCTGCAATACTGGATAGATTTTTTTCAATGCATTCTGGTTTGCCTGCACAAAAGAAGGTATCTTATAAGTCAAGGTGAGCTTCATGCCTCTTGAAACAGGGGAAAAAAAATATTTGCTAGTTGCCAAACTTTAGTGCAACATGTTCATATTCAAGATCTGTTGCACATAATGAGCGGTGCGATAAAAACCACTGTTGAATGAACATGGCATGTATGAAGTTAGATCTATGAAACATCTGTTCACAAACAAATATCATTAGGAAGTGCTTTCAATATAGCATTAAATCCCAAATATAATTTTGCATGGTTGAAAAGGACGAAGGAATAATAATTTCTCCAGCAACACAGACTGATGACTTAATCAACGGCTGATACTGATAATTATATGCCATTATACTTGAATCCTTCGAAGATATTCAATAAACACTACCATTCAAAAGTTTGGAATCACATTTTTAATAGGCTCTCTCTTTTAACATTTGCTAAAAGAGGAAGCATTGAATTTACCAAAAACAATGCTAATGCTGAAAACTATAATTACCGTTTGAAATAATGGCTTTTTATTCAGTCTTTACCTGCACACAGCATCAGTCCAGTCTTCTCAGAAACCGCAGCGACACCTCATCCTTACATAATGACTGCTAATATGCTACTACAGAAACATTTATTACCTCAGCTCTGTTCTGTGAAATGGTTCTGTGATTTAATGAAATGTGGAACTGGCAATACAGTGTCTTTTTTCAGCTGTTGAAATATTGAGTACACTTTTCCTCAAGTACAATTTTGGTTTCAAAAAGAAACCGCTTTCCCCAGAAACTCTGCAGGCTTTTGTTGTCTGCATACGCAAGCGTGCATCCGCCATCTCGTAAGAAGAAAGATGACTGGATCGAACCAGGACAGAGAGAGAAGTGGACAGCCTAGACGCACAACAATAACGACATGTAGAGCAGAGTTTGTAGTTTGGGAAACATGCATCCCAGGTCCTCGGCTGGCAGTTTGATTGAACAGAACACAATAAACATCATCAGCTTGATCTGAAGACGTGAAGACTCAAGAGACGCTGCTGGCCTCAAGTTTCAAGCTAACAAGAAGGTTCAAAAAGGCTAAAGATAGATAGATCCAAAGGCAGAACAAAGAATAGATGGGAAACATTTAAAAGGGATTTTATGGATGGATGGATGAATTTTGAAAACAGGTTTGACTGTAAGAAATGCCCTACAAGCCAATTACAGCTACTGGAAGCGCCGTAGAAAGCATGAGATGAAACATCACCTGCACATCAGGGATGCAATTTTCTGTGAAAAAAGGATGGGGAAAAGCAGCATGCACACACAATGATCCAGGTTCAATTGTATTTAATGTAAACACTGGCCGATGGTGCTATTTTGCTAGAAAGATGTGAGAAATCACACAGATTGTGTGAAATACAGTGCATATTTGCACATATATTTTCTCTAGAAGCAACAGCAACATCTTATTTAATACATTACAGGATACTGATGTGCTTGGGTGAGCAAAAACAGTTCAAGAGTCAGTGAAACCACTGTAGTGTTCAGCTGTCTGCATAAATAGACAGCCCATCCATCCATAGAAATAAATAAATAAAATGTATTATAACTTATTAATTATTTTTGGGAAATAAACAAACACATTTTATAATTTATATTTATTATTTAAGTCAAGTTATCAAATGAAGTTAATGCTTAAGAAATAAATATTGTAACTACTGAAATAAAATGGAGTATAATTTATATTATTTGAGTAGCCTAATAAATAAATTAAATAAATAAATATTACAATTTACATTATTAATTTAAATATGACATATAAAATGAAGTTAATATGCCTAATTTGAAGATGTTAAATAATACTAAATAGTTTTTTTTCTAATGAAAAATTATTTATATTATTTATTTGGAAAATTAAAATCAATCAATCAATCATCGTGAACATCGGTTATCGTGAACAATTTTTATTCATTTTACCAGAACAGTTCATGTAAAACAAACCTGATGTGTGCAGAATGGTCAGTTTTCTTTTTTAGCATAACTACTGCATATCTTAATGTCAAAGTAATGTTTAAAGAATACAGCATTTATTCTAAAATATTAATTTGTAACATTAGAAATGCATAAAAACTAGGGATGTGCACGACGACTAATTTGTCTGTCGTTTAAACAAAAGTTTTGTATCCGACTAGTCGACTAGTCTAAAAGCAAGAAACCCCCCTAAAAGAAAAAAACCCGTGCGTGCGTGTAGCATATATAATAGCCTATATTTGAAATACTTAATCTATGAATCACACTGTCAAATGCCTCCATGAATTCCGCACACTTGCCTCCCGTTATCATCATTTCATTTTAGGTGGTTGTTAAAAAGAAAAAAAGAAGAGCATACACTCAACGCCGGCCAAAGCATAGCTTATTTATTCAAATCAGCTGGGGAAATGCAGAACAATGGAAAATCAATCAATAGCCTGACAGAATTCTTAATCTTCATATAACGTTAGCCAACATATTAAAACAAGTCAAAAACAATAAAACGGCTTTTAAAAACGTACTTCGCGTAGGTTATATTGTCTAAAAACAAAATGCAACAATGCCCATTTTACTTACTCAAACCATGCGTTATTTGTTCAGTGAAATTATCAACGTGGTCTGGTGAAAGACGGGACCTGAGGCGATTAACAATAAAATTCCTGCACTTGAAAAAATGCGCTCGGCAGGAACTGAAGTCGCAGGCACGCAGAGATAACGAAAAGCAAGCCGATAGTTTCAGAAAGCGCCTGGACATCCCGCACCACCACCGAAGTGGGTCTTCGTTAGAGGAATAGACGACGCGGACGGTATCACAGTGCCGGTGGGTTGTAGTGAATGACGTGATTGACATTTGCTGGCTTTGGCCAGCCTCTAAACCAACACCTACGTGCCTGTATTGAATAGGATTATGCATCGCTCCAGTAGAGTTATTGTAAGACAATTTGACATTACACAGTTTACACAAAATTTTTCCGTTTCCTTCTAATTCTAAATATTTCAAATGTTTTAAATGCAATGTTAAAATGATGGTAATGTGAATGATAAAATCACGTTTTTGTTTTTCTTTTTTTTTCTGTCGTGTAATTGACTATTGTTTTCAGTGTCGACTAGTAGGAGCTTTTTTGTAGACCCACACATCCCTAATAAAAACCTATTCAAACTAGTCAAATCTAGTAATAAATATAACTCGTCTATTCATAAAACTTAACAGCCATTCAATACGTTCAATAGTCCAGAAGTCACCCTACATCTCAAATAAAACAACAAATGCTTCAGTGATGGAAAAAAAAACCCACAACAGCATGCATTAAAATAATTATAATATTCATAATGTGCTTAAATATATCAAGCAAAATCACAAATATGTTGTGAATATTCATTACATCATCCAGCCTTAATAGTTACTGTGATGCATTTTAAACCACCAAAACAGAAACGGGTTATGTTTAGAGATTATTATTATTAAACATGAGAAGCAGATGATCTTTAAATAATGTCTTTGAGAAGAGGAAAAGGCTTAGATAAGACAATACATGCCTTTAATTGTTGATCTGAAATGGGAACAAGGTGTATAACAATAAGAGAAAGGTCACAGAGTTAAGCGCCATAAAACAACCGCTTCCATCCCGCACCTTCAAGACATTTATATTCACTGGGCAGATAACCAATCTCAGGCACGAGGGGCAGGAGGTCACGCAGAGAAGCCTTTTTCCCCCTCTTTCATAAAGAAATCATCGACTGCAGGTGCTGTCAGTTTTCATAATCAAGCTGCGCCAACCACAAAATCTCGCCATTGCTTTTAGTAAGCGAGTTGTATTGAATTAATGTGCTTGTCAGAGAGTTGTCAAAGGCCTTATCAGAGCTGCCACTCACATCCAGCCTGCAGAGGGGTCCTGCGTACTTTTTAAAATATCCTTCCTTTGCCAAAGGTACGTCCATCTAGAGTCACAGGTGGCCAGTTTAAATAATAACATAATAAAACTGAAGCCCATGCAAACAACCGATAAGATTTTGGATTTTAATTGCAGAATTGTGTTTTTTCATCTTAATCTAATGTTCACATCGTTTCCAAAACCTAGCTTAAAATATAGAGCATGGCACTTGCAACGCCAAGGTCATGGGTTTGAAACACAGGGAATGCATTAACTGATGAATGCAATTCAACGCGATTTATAAGCATCTGCTAAATGCATTTAAAAAAAGTGCATTAAAGTCACGCAAGATCTCGCAATGCATTTTCACTCAAAACTGTTTTCTTAAGGGTCAGATCTGCTAAATTCACATTGAAACGGTCTAAATCTGCAAGACATCTTTCCTCTAAATGCAGACAGATGTGAGCAGATTTTTATTCAGTCTTTAAATGTATCAGCTTGCATTATGACGCAAAAAAAAAAAAAAAATTTTAAAACCTTGAAAGGAACTAACACAAAATTACTTGGAGGTCATGGTTTTAAATCATAGGCAATGCATGAACTCAATGCAATGAAAGCTGCTTTCTATAAATATTAGGAAGAGTGTTTGCTAATGCATAAATGCTATAAAAATGGGCAAATATTACACTATTGTGCATTAAATTGCTTTTAAGTCTTCTGAATTTTCACAGTGCATTAAATTGCCTCAAGATATTTGGCAATGTTTTGTAATGTACTGGAATGCATTTTCACTCAAAATGCAGTTAATTTAATAAGGATCGGATATGCTATATTATCAGCTTGCATTAAAAAAAAATCTTGAAATGAACTAAAACCAAACTATGGGTCAAGGGTTTGAATCACAGGGAAAGCATTAACCAATGAAGGCAATCTAAGTCAATTTATATAAATAAGGATAAAATGTCTACTAAATGCATAAATGTATATAAAAAAATTCCACAACAGTGCATTAAATTGCCTTAAAGTCATGTCTTGTAATGTATTAGAACGCATTTTTTACTCAAAACACAGTTTACTCAAGAATCAGATCTGCTAATTTGTCAGCTTGCATTAGCAATTAAAAAAAGCCTTGAAACAAATAAAAATCTAAATGTGAAGATCATGGGTTCAAACTGATGAATGCAATGTTCGTCAATTTATATAAATATAAAGATAAAACATCTGCTAAATGCATAAAAGCATAAAAAAGGAAAATATTCTACTAAAGTGCATTAAATTCCCTTTAAGTCACGTCTTGTAATGTATTAGAATTTTCACTCAAACTGATGAATGCGATGCAAGTCACTTCATATAAATATTAACATAAAAGCACCTGCTAATTGCATGTGTTAAAAAAAAAATACCTAAGTGCATTAATCGCCTTACAGTCAGGTGAGATTTCACAATGTCTTGTAATGCATTTCCACTCAAAACAGTTCTCTCAATAAGGGTCAGATTGGTTAAATTCACAGTGAAACTAAAACTGCAAAATTTTTTCCTCTGTATGCAGAGATGTGAGCAGATTTTATTTAGCCTTTAATATATCAGCTTGTATTACTGATGCAAAAAATTTTGTTTTTAAATTATTTTTAATAAAAAAGACATACATACATTATATATATATA